TGTTCTACAGGGGACCTGTGAGGCTACTGTGGAATGTTCTAGAGGGGATCATGGGGCTGTGGTGGAATGTTCTACAGGGGACCTGTGAGGCTACTCTGGAATGTTCTAGAGGGAATCATGGGGCTGTTGCAGAATGTTCTAGAGGGATTATGGAGCTGCTGTGGAATGTTCTAGGGGGACTGGGAGGCTGTTGTAGAATGCAGAGGACCCAGGGATGGGGGCTTGGATGGCCAAGAGCAAGTGGGTGGGTTAATGGGCATGGCAGGCAGAGACAGGCCAGCTCCGTGGGGTCAGGAAGAGCTGCCTGGCTTCGGGTTGGACCCTCCCTGCCCCCTAAGCATGAGGAGCTCCGGGGTATTCAAGCACAGAGATCCTGGCCTGGGGCTGTAATCTGGGGACCCAGAAGATCCATCTCCAGGTCTTGGCAAGGCCTGGTGCAAGCAAAGGGGGGTCCCCATGTGGGCTATGGGGTGCAGGGCATCGGGTCTAGAAACTCTTCAAGTCTCCCACCCCACCCTGGCACTCAGTCACCCCCAAAGCGTTTCCTCTACAGCATCAGCCTGCGGCTTGGTCCGGGGCTCCCTCCCGGTGGCTGTCTCGAGTGGAGCTGGAGGACCTTCCAGAGAGGGTGGGGGCAGCAGGGGGCCCTACCGTGGGGCCAGGGTGTATTTGCCCTTGCGGTCCAAGCTGCAGCCAGAGCGGATGGCAAACCACAGGAATGAGCTGAGGAGCAAGGCGGACACCTGGGAGGGAGACACCCGTGGCTGCCCCACTGCTCCAGGCTGGGGGCGCCCCTCCCCAGAAAGCATCAGGACTCTGCAGTGGGAGGGGGCGGCCCAGCTGCAGAGGCAAACACTGTCACAGCGGACCAGCTCCCCGAGGTTGGCAGCCAGTGAGGCCCAAGACCAGAGAGCCTGTCCCGGGTCACCATTCCATCTGAGTCGGGCGCTGGGCAGGCTGAGGGGCAGGAGGTAGGAAGGGGCGGTGAGGGAGGCGAGGGGGTACCGTGAGGGCCAGGCCGATGCTGGTCAGGCTGGAGGCGACCTGCTGGTGTATCCTCAGGAAGCTCCGGATGCCCTGAAGGCAGTCCTACGAGAGGGCAGCAGGCATGGCACCCGCCCTGACCGGCCCTCCCTGCCTGGACAAGCGGCTTCTGTGGGGCCACGGAGCTGCAGCGCCCACCTAGGCCAATGCCAGGGCAGCAGGGAGGTGGGTGTAGCACATTCCTGGGAAGCCCCCAGGGCTCTAGGGAAAGGCAGCACAAACAGGTGAAGCCCAATGGGACAGGGCTGGCCCCTGTGGACACCCAGGCACTGCCCTGGGCCCAGCAGGTGCCGTCTCCCAGCTGTCCTGAGTGTCCATCTTGGGCCACACGTTGGCTCCCCTAGGCTGGGCCACTTCTAATTCACTCTGGGTTCCCAGTATCCAGCCCAGGGCCGGGCACAGCGCCTGGGTGACCAGAGGATGATGACTAACAGGGAAGGCGGGAAGCCAGCTGGTGGAGGGATGCGAGGGGAGTCCCCGCACTGTCCCAGGGTCCTGGTTCCATCCCGGGCTTCCAGTGCCACCCCAGGGCATGGCACGAGAGGCATCTTTCCAGAAAAGGGAGGTGACAGGCCTGTCTCTGAACCCTGGAGATGGTGGCAACTGGGGCAGGCTGTGGAGGCCTCTGTAGTGTGTCAGGGCTCACCCTCCTGCCCCCCACAGGCAGGTCTGCCTCCCTCCTGCCCATGCCTGCCCATCTGGGTGGCTCCGTGCCCGCCACTTGTGCTGGCTTTTCCGGCTCCCCAGGAGGCTTTGCAGTCAGGCCCATGGCCCTGCCATCCCCAGGGTGCTCAAGGCAGGCCCTCGCTCCTGTTTTTCAGTCGGGGGACCTGGGACCTCTCCTTGGGTGGCACAGGGATCCTGACTGTCAGCCCTACCCCTGATGCTGCTGGTGCCTCCCCAGCAGTGTCCCCAGCACCAGCCCTTCTGCCCTCAGAGCCTGGGCTGTGGCTCCACCCCTTGCCAGGCCTCCAGCCATTTGCTCTCGTCCCCTCTGTTTCTTGGAGGGTGGCCAGGTGCCTCCCACTGTGAGATAGGGTGGGTTTGTTTCCAGGACAGTAGGGGAGAGGAGCAGGGAGGGGGCAGGGTGGGCTGGGAGAGGGCTGCTGGGCACCAGGAGAAAGAGCGGAGGGCCCAGTTTGTCCCAGGGCTCTGGGAGGAAAGGCTTCTTCGCCTCGGGCCCTGCTCTGTTGTTGCTGAAGCCCTGGCCACACCCTAGCCTACGCTGACCCTCCGGCCTCGCTTCTCCTCCTCTGAGTGCCCTTCCACTCCTTCTGATGCCCCCCAGGACGCCTGCACCCTTCCCCCTAGATAGAGCCCACCGTGCTGGTCCTGCAGCCCTTGGCACAGAGCCCTCATGGGTGCACTCCAAGAGGCTTCTGTGGACTCAGCTGGCCTTGGGAAGCCCCGAAACTGGAACTGACTTGAAGGAGTGAACGGCGCATCGGGCCTGCGTCCAGCTGGGCAAAGGGGCTTGTGTCTATGTCTTGAGCCTAGCCCAGCCGCCTGACAGGCTTGGTGTACCGTGAACCCTAACTAGCCTCCAATCATACCAGAACCTTCCCTGAGCCCTTCAGCGGGCAGGTCCCGAGGGTCTAGGGAGACCAAGGGGGGGGATGGGAGGATGGCTCTGGGTCTCGGGGTTGGGCCCCAGGGTGTCCAGCCCCTGAGGGTCTTGCCTGGCCAGCCTCCAGGTACCCCCCTCACCTCTCTTGCCGCCTCCTGTCCCTGACACAGGTCAGCCTCTGTGCTCCCCAGACGGCTGAAAGGAGACCTCTTCCCACAGCACAGAAACTACAAGAACAGAAGGGAGGGAGTGGTGATGTGCTTCCGAGATCCCAGGAGGCGGGCAGCACATATGGGGAAACTGAGGCACCACAAGGCTCCAGGTGGGGTTCCCTGCAGGCCAGGGCTGGGGCTCCGGGTAGCAGCTGCTTCTGCTGGGGGCTCCAGCCATTGTGCAGCCGGGGCCTGGTGAGGGGAGCTTTCTCAAGTCGCGCTGCCTGCGCGCTGGGGAGGGAACTCCTGCTGGAGCCAGGCAGCTTCCCCGCCCTGCTCACGGGCCGTGCGTGCTTTTTTTTTAAGTAGAGACAAGGTCTCCCTATGTTGCTCAGGCTGGTCTCGAACTCCTGGGCTCAAGCAATTCAGCTGCCTCAACCTCCTCCCAAAGTGCTAGGATTACAGGCGTGAGCCACTATGTTTGGCCCCGTATTTGCTTTAATGCTCTTGAAATCCTCCAGTGTTTCTGAATAAGGGGCCCTGCCCTCCCATTTTGCACTGGGCCTTGAGAATCTGGTAGGTGGCTCTGTCCTGGGCAGACAGAGGATGGGGGCTTTGTGCCGCCAGCCCTGAGGGGCAGCTCTGGCCTATGTCCTGGAACCCCTTGGTGCCTGGCCAGACCTCTCACTGGCCACCCTGTGCCTGTCCTCTGAACTGCAGTCCAAACAGAGGCTGACCGCCCTGCCACCCAGCCGTCCCCACGCTCACCGTGTCCTGGATGGCCGCCAGCTCCTGCCGCCCGACGTGGGACGTGCCTTTCATCGCCTGCTCATATATCAGGTCGTAGGTGTCCAGCATGGCATCCTCCACCTACACCGAGAGACCACGGGGAGGTCCTGGCCCTGGTGAGAGATCCAGGGACACAGCCCCCTCCCCACAACATCCCAAAAGCTGGTGGGCCCTTAGTGGAGTGACGTCCCAGCACCGCCCTCCTCGCAGCAGGTGGATCTTCCCAAGGGGTAGCCTGGATCCCTGGGCAGCCAGTCACAGTGCTTCCCAACATCAACAGTGGGGCCTCCACACAATGGCCGTCAGTGTGGCCCTCCTGCCCCCAGAGGGTCCTGCAGGATACATCGAGGCCAAGCTCTGCATCTGCCTCTCCTGTGGTCTTACAAGGTCGGCTCAGGGAAGTTTCCATCACGCTACTGTTGACCTGGAAATGGGGGATGGAGCTGGGCCTGGTGGAAAAGGCTTGAGAGACCCTGTGCCAGGACCTCAGCTCCCACAAAGCTGGGGGATTCTAGGTCTTTCCCCAGAATCACCCAGCTGCCTTCCAGAACCCCGGGCAGCTGGGCTCTGGGTAAGGCTTTTGACCAGAGAAGCCTTGGGCACCTGGAGTCAGATCTGGGTGGACGAGGCCACTGTGGGGCAGGGGGTGGAGAAGGTGGAAGGTGACGGGGCCTGGCTGGATGTGCTGTCTGCACTCCACACCCTAATACCACCTGGACCTCATGTCTCCACCCTCCTAAGCAAGATGCTGTCCCCTGCCAAGTTACCCCTTCAAAGACAAACTGGAATCTCGCCTCCTACGGGAAGGCTTCTGTGACTGCTCCAGGAGTCGCTGGTCTCCTGGCACAGGGCGAGGCCCTCTTTGAGGTCCCTACCCTCTAATGTCTCCTTCCTGCCTCAGAGGCCCTCAGTTCTCCCCCAAATGCCATGCTGACAGTCAGGACACATGGAGGGGTGCTCAGCAGTTGCCCTAAAGGGCTGGGGGAGAATGGAAGCCCCAGGCCTGCTCTGGCCGCTCACACCTGCCCTCTAGAAAGGAAGGGTGGCTTCCCGTGGTCCTCGTTGCACTGGGGCCCAGCCCCCGTGGCAGCCCTGACAGCGGCCACCTGGGTGGGCAGTGGGCAGTGGAGGCTCTCGGTCAGCCCTGCCCTAGCCTGGAGGCCCCAACAGGAGTCAGATGGACTTTCCAGGCCAAACTTGGCTCCTGACCCTAATGCATCCCTCCCACTGATGGCTAATAAAAGTCAGACCACTCTCCATGAGTCATCCCCAACTCAGCCAGCCTTGTCCTGCCCGCAGTGCCCTGGGGGGCAGGCGTCAAGCTGGCCACACCACTGTTGGCCTGGGCGGGGGCCTTGTTCAGCCTCAGCGTCTGTGAGTGTGAAATGGGGGTGGAGTCGCCTGGCCATTGTGTCCTCGTGGGTGGAGGTCCTGGTAAGGACCGGAGGCCTGGTGGAGTGGGCCTGGAGTTGGCTCAGACCTCCCCTCCTGCTTCCCTCCCAACTCCAATGACTGTCCTCATTGTCAGGCGCCTGCCATGGCCCAGGGAGGACACGGGTGCCTCTGAGGCTCTGAGCTAGGTGTCCTTATTACCGCAGCAGGGGCGAGAGTGACAACGCTTGCTAGTGGCTGAGGGGCTTGCTCTGCCCGGCTCTTCCCACTCTGCCCGCTATGCCCGTTATGCCTGCTCTGCCTGCTCTGCCTGCTATGCCCGTTATGCCTGCTCTGCCTGCTCTACCTGCTCTGCCCGCTATGCCCGCTATGCCCGTTATGCCTGCACTGCCTGCTCTACCTGCTCTGCCCGCTCTGCCCTGCTCTGCCTGCTCTACCTGCTCTGCCCGCTATGCCCGTTATGCCTGCTTTACCTGCTCTACCTGCTCTGCCCGCTATGCCCGTTATGCCTGCACTGCCTGCTCTACCTGCTCTGCCCGCTATGCCCTGCTCTGCCTGCTCTCCCTGCTCCACCTGGCTCTACCTGCTCTGCCTGGCTCTGCCAAGCAGCTCTCCCCACGACTGAGGAAGCAGAGCTCAGCAAGGTAGGCCTCCTGCCCCAAAGCCTGGCTCTAGAGGGCCCTGGAGGTCAGGCCGGCCACTCCCCACGGGGCCTGGGCTCCTAGGTGATGCTTCACCAACTGTCTCCATCCCAGGCTCTGGGGGCTCTGAAGGACCCTGGGGCCTGTGTTTCTCAGGACACCTGGGGGCAGGTGCGCCCTGAAGGGTACCAATGCACTGAGCTCCATCTTCCGGTGCCCGGGGGGTGCTTCAGGACAAAGACCTGGAGCAGCAGGGCCAGCGCAGAATTCCCGGTTGCTGGACCCACCCGACCTGCTGTGTTTCTCCAACCCCTGCCCAGACTGAGGCCTGAAGTCCAGGGGTCCCCGCTGGGGCTTCCCAGATCGTCCCTGGTGTCTGCCTGGGCTCGGCGGCCCTGACTCCATCCCGTGTCTGCTGAAAGTGCTCAGGAAGGTACAGACAGGTCCTGGGCGGCGGGTGGGGACCAGGAGCTGCAGGAGACCTGTGGACCAGCCCCACAGGTCCAGAGCCGGCTCTGGCCTGAGCCCACTCGGTGGCTGGAGGATCCAGGGAGGGAAGTGGCTCCAGGGTGGGGCCAGACTGCGAGGATGAGGCTGCACCCCACACTGCTGTACTTAATTCGAGCATGAAATATTCCCGATGCAGACTCGTCCGGGGACAGGGGGAAGGTTGCAGCAAAGTGACTCTCAGGCTTGGAGGAGAACGTAATTAATAGCCCTCAAGCTCCACATTCATCCCTGAAGCCTGGTCCATGCTTCCTGCCCGCATGAGCGTCCCAGGGAAGTGGCAGCCAGGACTTCCTGGGGCAAGGATTGGGGAAGGGGAGGGGCACCCTACTACTCTCAGTGCTGGGCCAGGGTCTGTGGCCACGGGGCACTGCCAAGGGCATGTGGCGGGTCCCTTCCCTCCTGCAACCTCTGCCTTTCCATCCGCAGGGCTGCCACATGAGTCACGCTGACCCTGTGTTCAGGACACCTCAGGGGCCCTGTGGGGAGGTACAGGGGGAAAGGGTGAATGGGCCGGGCTGGGATCTGGACCCCCGGCTCTCACTTCAACATTTCTGGTGCCAACAGCTTGGGCCCTTTGGCCTTTGCCGCTGTCTGTGCTGCCAGCAGGACCTTGTTGGACAGGGATCCCGAGGTTGAAGCCCGTTAGGCTCTGGTGGGCCCTGAGGGCAAAGGGCAGGAGGTGGGATGTGCAACCACCCCTCCTGCTCAGGCCCTGGCCCCTGGCACCACAGCTACCCCATCCACACCCAGCACAGCTCCGAGTGAGTTCCATGTCCTGGAGGACCAGCCTGGGCAACGGGGCACGGCAGGGGGCACGCAGGTAAGGAGGAAGAGTTTTTGCTCACACCTGGCCATTCCTACCCATGCAGCCCCTGGGTCTCGGTGCTCCCTTCACAGAAAAGGAAACTGAGGCCCAGGAAGGTTAAGTAGCTTGCCCAAGGGCGCCCCAAGGACACTGACTTCATATTCAGAGCTCCTTCGCCCAGGCCACCTCTGTGGCCACCAGGCCTGACACGGATGATGTCGGAAGTCAAGACCCACCGGGAGGGGCCGATGGGGCCCAGAGGCCCAGGGGGAAATCCCAGTGCCTTGCCTGGGGTCAGGCAAGGCCCTGAGAACTGACCCCTGAAGGCCAGCTGGGCGCACGGGCCAGACAAAGATGGTGTGTGTGGGGGATGCTACTTGGGGCTGGGACAGGCCATAGGCAAGCCCGGCTGGGGCATCTATCTTTTTGCACCCCCTTCCCTTCCTGGAGAGCAGGCCCCAGCTGTGTTCTGTCCTGTAGCCCTTGCATGGCCCCCTCCCCTCCAGAATTGTGCTTCCAGGGTCAGAGCCATAAACACACAGAAGCATGGGGCATGGGCTGCAGCTGCCCCAGACGAGCCCGGGCACCCTGGCAGCTGTCTTGACCTCGGCCACCTCCACTGTGACCCAGACCTCAAACGAGCCTAGACCACCCCACAATGGACAGGAAACGTGAGGCTGAAACACCGACCTGGCCCAGCTCATCACCCTGGTAAGACTACTGTGCCAATCCTCAAAGCCACAGCCCTCTTTAGGGGGCTCAGTCCCTCTGGGATCCTTCTGGGCCTGAGAAAATGATGTTTCTCCCACCTGGTTCAGGTGGTTCATCCCAAATGATGCCAGGGGTGGGCAGACACTTTGGGGCCAAGAGCCTTTGTTGTAAGCCTGGAGCTCCCTCCAGCCCTGGCACTGCCAGGGTAACTTTGAGCTCCCCCCATCCATGGAGGGCCTGAGTCCCCCCATCTGCAAACCACGGTGGGGGCCACCACACTCAGGCTGCCAGCACAGCTCAAGAACTGGCACAGCAGGCGCCCTGCAGAGCTCAGCCAGAGGACCTGCCTGCCACCAGCCTCAGCATCTATCATGGCCAAGCTTGTGTTTGGGGACCCTGGGCAACCAGGCACTTGAATACACAAGGCCACTAGGACTCCAGCTAGGGCTTCAAGAAATCACCTCTTGTGACTTGCCAGGCTCTCCTGCCCCACTCGATGACCCTGCCTGCAGCTGTCCCTGGCACTACCCGGCTGCCCTGGGGGCTCTCACCAGGTCTGGGCTCTCAAGGGGAAGGTGGGGCTGGCTCTGTTACCGAGCTCTCATTCTCTGCTGGGCCAGGGAGGCCTCCGTCCTCTCCAAGCTGCTGGCCTTTCCACGGGGACACCCTTGGCCCCTGCGCAGGGTCAGCTAGACCAGCCCGTCCTCCAGGCAGGTCAGCATCCAGGACGGAAGGATGGGTGGCGTCCTGTGGAGCGGGTGGAGGCTGCGACACCCCAGCCCGTGGGTCTCCAGGCACTGTCCGCCCCACCAGGCCTCCATCAGGAGCGGGGGCCCTCAGGTCTCATGTTCTGGAACACTCTGCTCCTTCCAGTCAACCCCTAAGGCCAAGCCAGTGACTTTCCTTCTTCTTCCTCCTCATTCCCTCCCCCAAACCTGAGAGGCATCAGCTCAGGAGGGGGTGGGCTGAGGGGCTTCAAGAAAATGAGGCTGGGGCGAAGGCCTGGGTACAGCATAGGTCCCTCCCCACCAGGGAGCTGCTGGCCCTCACTCACCTCCAGCGCTTGGCCTCCCTGCAGCCTCAGACAGAGGAAACCCAGGCTGCGGTCTCCCCCACCCCACCCGGTCAGTGCAAGCCTGGAAGCTGGGGCTGCCCCTCCCCGGACTGCTCCCCCGTACCCAGGTGCCCACTGGCTTGCTGGGGGACCCTCTGCTGCAGGGTAGGGGCAGCTGGTGCTCACCTGGGTGGGGCTGTGGAGTCTCCAGAACACCAGCTGCACCTGTGCGCAGAACGCCAGGGAGAAGCACAGGAAGCCCTGGGGGCAGAGCGGCCAGTCACTGGGGGGGGCCGGTCACTGTGGGGGGCCGGTCACTGGGGGGGGGCCGGTCACTGTGGGGTGCTGGTCACTGTGGGAGGGGCCTGTCACTGTGGGGGGCCGGTCACTGTGGGAGGGCCTGTCACTGTGGGGTGCTGGTCACTGTGGGAGGGGCCTGTCACTGTGGGGGGCCGGTCACTGTGGGAGGGCCTGTCACTGTGGGGTGCTGGTCACTGTGGGAGGGGCCTGTCACTGTGGGGGGCCGGTCACTGTGGGAGGGGCCTGTCACTGTGGGAGGGGCCTGTCACTGTGGGGAGCCGGTCACTGCGGGAGGGGCCTGTCACTGTGGGGGGCCGGTCACTGCAGTGGCCTTGCCAATCACTGAGGGGTCTGGCAGGCCTGGGCAGGGCAGTGCCCTCAGGCTGTGCCCCCAGCGGGATGCTTGGTTGAGGCATGGATCTGAGTCCCGCTCCCCACTGCCTGAGAGGGAGACTTGGCCTGGGGATAGCATGGGCGCTGGGTCCGTGGGTTCCATAGCACCTTCCCATCCCCTTCCTGGGCGCTTTTTGGGAATTCGTCCCTTGTTCTCCCATTTTGGCCCCCAGGGACCTGTTGATGGCAGCACTGCACCCCTGCCCGGGAAGGGCAGGGCGCCCCTGAGAATATGGAGACCTCTGCCCACTGGGGCTGCTTCCTGAGGGGCATGGACCTGGACAGGGCCGGGCAGAGCCTGCCCTGAGCCTGAGCCTCTCCAGGGCCGGTGCTATAGGCTCTTCTGTTTTGCCTTCTTTTCTGAAACAAGCCACCAGCTAGCCCAGCGCTGGTGAGGTTTGGGACAGATATGGCGCCTGCTCAGGATGCTGTGGCCTCTCTCTTTGCAGGTGAGCCCACCTCCCTCACCTCCCTTTCTCTCCATACTCTGCCTGGGTCCCCATGGCCTGGCCAACCACTGTCCCCTCTCTCTCACTGGTGCCAGTGCCCCTAGTTGTGGAGTGGGGCGTTCTCCGGCAGAAACGTCTGCTCACCAGCCCCCGGCATTGCCCCATTGTTCTTTTGGCCGGGGCTTCCAGGCTTTTGAGAGCCCCTTTGCGGAAGCTGGGGAACACGAGAGACCTCCCCTGAGATTAGACAGATGCCCCCGACACGGTTTTATGGAGGGCGGCAGAGGTCACCCAGGCTAAGAACCCTGGGGATGTCCTCCCACTCAGGGTCTGGGTGACCACCTTTGCCTTCGTGCTGGTGCCCTGAGCCTGGGGATGTCCCCCAACTCGGGGTCTGGGCGGCTGCCTTTGCCTTCATGCTGGTGCCCTCAGGACCCGGAGTACCTGATGGTGAGTCTAGCCACCGACCAGGCAGCTCCCCCAGGAGTCCTGAGGCCCTGGTGAAATGCCAGCCCCCGCAGGCAGCACTGTGCCCAGCTGGGTGGTCCACAGGCTGAGGCAGGTTGGGTCTGGGCCCTTCTAACCCTGGGGCCCCATTCAGGGTGACGCCAGGAGCATGGGTGTCCGTGGAATAGACAGAGACCCACACATGCTGGCAGGCGAGCAGCAACCATGCTGGCATGCCAGGGGAAGCTGGTCAAGAGGGGCGTGGAAAGAGCTGGGGAGCCCTGCTGGCCCCCAAACACAGGCGAGAGCATGGGGCCTCCAGCCTTGCAGGGATGGGGCGCTGGCGGCTCCCCATGACCTTCCTGCCTGCCCTGGAGGCTGCAAGGCCTGATGGGCGATGGCCTGGGAGCTGCC